CTGACACGGTGGCGAAATTTGATCAGTCAACACATCAGTGTACCTGAGGGAGAGAAGAAAGTCTGGTGAGCGTTTGTTAGTTCATGAAACAGCCCGCACAAGTGAGGAACTTACGACGACGCTTCGGTCCGACCGGGATCATTTACAAGTCACACACAGCGACTTGTAAAGGGTTCAAGTCGGACCGAAACGTCATGAGCGATAAACCCGTAGGATTTTACAGCGCATGTGAGGGGGGAGATGGAAAGTACTCAGGGTCAATTCAGGGAACTGGAGAACAAATCCAATTCCCTAGATCAAGAGCCCCTCAACATTTACAAGACTAGCTATTAGTATATTTGTAAAAGTCAGAAATATGGGATGGTAATGGGAAATTCTGTATCCCATATTGTAAATAATTTATATGTATTTTTAAAATCTTATTACCAAGAATAATTCTTCCAGATAATGCCGAGTGTGGATTATATCTCCAAGTGACCCGTAAATGGAGGCTGAAAAAGGGTCTTAAATTAATCGGTTTAGCTAAACCCTAGTAATTGATACTGTGTTTGAACAATATGAATTATATCTTAGTTGGTTTGCAGTTGGTTCCTCTGACATTGTGTTACAGCTTGCAGACCACGGTTCGAACCCCTCGTCCACCCTTTTGCTTATTCACTGACAGTCATTTATATATATATATATATATATATATATATTATATATATATATATATTATATATATTATATATTATATAATATATATATATGTTTATGTCGTGCCGAATAGGCAGAACTTGCGATCTTGGCTTAAATAGCAACGCTCATCTTGCCATATAGGACAAGTGAAAATTTGTGCATCCAATAATTTCGCCAAAATCATTCTGAACCTAACGAAAAAAATATATTTCACTGTGTTTGTTTAGTATTAAATTACTGTAAACAAATCTAAAATATATTTAGTTGGGTTAGGCTAAAATAAATTGTTCTTGTTATAATAAGGTTAGGTAAGTTTTCTAAGATTCTTTTGGTGCAAAATTAAAAAAAAATTACATTAACATTAATGAAAAAAACATATCTTTAAACGTATAAGAGAAAATTTTAGAAAGCACTTAATTTTAAACGAGTTCTTTCTAATTGACCAGTTTTACATATTCGGCACGAATATATATATATATATATATATATATATATATATTATATATATATATATATATATATATATATATATATATGTGTGTGTGTGTGTGTGTGTGTGTGTGCAAAATGACCACAGACAGGAGATCCTAACATTGCAAGACAAAGCCACGGGAGGGGGGGGGGGTGTAACACTTCAGCTCAAGCACTTTCACACAAGTGCGTCATCAGGAGCTATGCAATGTTGAAAGGGCAGCAACAGGAGAATTAAGGTAATATTTTGTTTAGAATATGGTAGCGCGATGGCACCAGCCAATATGTGACTGAGGGAGAGAAGCCCTGCGGGATGCCAACCACACACCGGTTTCCCCCACACCCCACCCTGTTTGGAGTCAGGTGGAGTTGGCCCCACAGATTGCAGATAGCATGAGGTAAAATAACTAGGAGATAGTTACTAGCCAGCCCTAAGCTTCTAACTGCTGCAGACAGGTCATGTGACGTAACTTACATTACAATAGTGGATCATTTACATACAGAATGCAGCTAATGTAAATAACCTTCTAATTAAATATTTTTATTTTTTTAATACATCAGCCGTCTCCCACCAAGGAAGGGGGACCAGAAAATGAAAAACTTCCATTCACTCCATCACTGTCTTGCCAGATGCGCACTTACACTATAGTTATAAAACTGCAACATTAACACCCCTCTTTCCGAGTGCAGACACTGTACTCCCTATCTCCAGGACTCAAGTCCGGCCTGCCGGTTACACTGAATCGCTTCATAAATGTTACTTTTTGCTTACACTCCAACAGCACATGAAGTCCTAAAAATCCTTTGTCTCTGCTCCTATCCAACACAAACTAAAAAACTGCATTTGTGGTCACAGTGGTGCCTATGCTGACATTCCTATGGTGTATAAATATACCTAGTTGGATGAATCTTTTTGTAACCAGCTGGCCCAGTGGCTAAAGTGACGGTCTAGAGTTTTATGACTCTGACCGCGGGTTCTCTCCCCGCCCATGATATGGTTTAACTATGTGTACCTTGCATAGCTGTACTTAGACGGGTAGACCTCAATAGGTCACTCTTCCTCTATTTTGGGCTGTCTTAACAGGACGATCACACATGTGCACCCATACCTAAATGAACTCCCACGATTACTTCCTTACTGCTGTTACATAACTCAGGTTGCAGTCTGTATTGCAGCACACCACCTATAACACCTGTAACATTATGAATCAGGAATTGCCTGAATATAAGGACTTAACTGGAGAATTCACACAGGCATACTGACACAGTACTTCCTTAATATTGTAGAACGTTTAACGACATCGGGTACTACCAGTTGGCAAATTATTATTATAATCAAAAAGAAGCGCTAAGCCTCAAGGACTATACAGCGCTGCAGGGCAGGAAGGAATCGAGGGCATCAGGTGGCAAAAGGGAGATGGATGAGTAATAGGTTACGGATAACAGCGGGGTAGTGGATGGTGAAAGGGTAAAGGACAGCAAGAGATTGAACTAGAAAGGGCTGAGAGGAGTGCGAAAAGTATCATCAGAGTTTGTGGAGTAAATCAGTCGTTGTCAAGAAGTCAATGAGAGAGTCAGGATTAAAGGAGGGTCCATAAAGCAAGAAGGGAAGGTTTAAAAGAGAGAGTAGTAGACGAAGACAACGTTGGAGGTAAATTCTGCGTGCTCGTTGATATAGAGGGGCATCTAACAGAATGTGGCTAATCAAATACGGGAACTTGACACTCCCCTCACAGAGAGGAACAGGGTGCCTCTCCATGAGATACCCATGAGTAAGACGAGTGTGGCCAAGCGAAAGGCGGGAAGTGGTCTCCCAACTCGGCACTGATGACAAAAAGACGGCCAGTAACCTATGCTCGGTTTAATAGAAGAAGTTTTTTACCGGCAGATTTGGGTCCAACGTTGTTGCCCAACGGGTGCGAAGTGGTAGCAAATTGCAGCAAAAGAGTCCAAAATGGAACACCTCGATAGGAAATTGGTAGGTCATGTACTGCTCCCCCGCGAAAGCAGTGTCTGCCTGTTCATTGCCCTGTACGTTGAATGCCCAGGGACCCAACAAAAAAATATCTTTATGTTTGGTAGAGATACGGCGTAGCCAAAGTTGGATACAGAGAACTAGGGGATGAGATGTATCAAATTTTCGTATAGCCTGTAGAGCACTAAGGGAGTCTGAGACTACTACAAATGATGACACAGGCATAGATGCGATACGAATAAGTGCTGCAAGAATGGCATACAGTTCAGCAGTAAAAATGCTACCTGAAGATAGCAAAATGCCCCCGCACGACGCTGTCCGGAAACACTGCTGCAAAATCCGACCCGTCTGAAGACTTAGAGCCATCTGTGTACACAGCGGTGGCATGAGAATGGAGTGGAAGTGATCAAAAAAAAGAGAGGGGGAACCCACCGTAGGCATTTGAGCTTTCGAGCAAGGGGAGTGAGAAAGAACAGACCCAAACAGCGGGAAACTTCCCAGGGGGGTAGGGAAAAGTGAGTGCTACATGAACATATAAAGGTGGTAACTGAAGGGAAGACAAGAGTGAATGTGGGCGAAGAGAAAAGGGACGGAGCAAACAGGGGCGGCGAACGAATAAAGGATGTCTACTAATATCGGTGACCATTCTATAAATGGAAGGATTGTGTAGATCGTGAGAGCGTACATAGTAGCGAAGGCAATGGCATCACGGCGATCAGACAAGGATGGAACATTCGCTTCTGTATAGAGGCTCTCAACGGAAAAAGCGAAAAGCACCAAGGCACAAACGTAATCCTTGGTGATGGATAGAGTTAAGGCTAGAGAGAGTAGTAGGAGAGGCCGCAGAATAAATCATAATCGAGTTTCGATAAAACGAGGGCTGAATGTAGGCGAAGCAGAGTTCGACGATCAGCTCCCCAGGAAAGATGAGCAAGGGTTTTAAGAAGGTTTTAGCCGGGCTGTGACAAGTTGCCTTCAGAGAGGTAATGTGAGGTTTCCAGGATAACCTACGGTCAAAGAGAAGGCCTAGAAACCTGACTGTTTCACGTTCGGGGATACGGGAGCCATAGAGATACAAAGGATGATCGGAGATAACAGAGCGTCTAGTGAAAGTAATTTGGTGAGTTTTGGTACTTGAAAATTTAAACCCATGCGTGGTGGCCCAAGTGGAAACACGGTCGACCGCATTCTGGAGAGAAACTGCAATAAGGTGACAGTCAGCGCCTGCACAAGCAATAGCGAAGTCATCAAACATAGAGTGATGACCAAATATTGGGTGGAGAACAGAGGCCAAATCATTTATAGAAAGGGAGAAAAAGTGTTGTGCTTAGAACCATCCTGAGGGAAAAACTTCAGCTTGGACGAAGTCCGGGGAAAGAACATTATTGACTCGAACACGAAATGTTGTCAGTTAAAAAGTTCTAAAGGAAGGATGGTAGATTGCCTTGGAGGCCTAAGGAATGGGCCTGGGCCAAAATATTATACCTCCAAGTTGTGTCACATGCCTTCTCAAGGTCAAAAAATATGGCAATAACTGAGTGATTATTCTCAAGGGCATTACGAACATACGTATCCAAGCGTAGTAAGGGGTCTATGGTAGAACCCGTCCCTTACGAAACCCATATTGACTACGAGAGACTGTTGTGTGTCTCTAATACCACATTAAACGTCGATTACGAGACGTTCCATCACTTTGCAAACTGCACTAGTAAGAGCAAAGGGACGATAGTGGGAGGCATCTATTCCTGTAGTACCCGGTTTGCGGAAAGGGAGAACAATGGCAGATTTCCACAGCTGGGGAAGAACTCCTTGTGCCCAATAAGATTGAAGGGGTTTTAAGAGGACTACAAGGGCTGACCGATGTAAATGTTGTTAACATAACGAATATGAATGTCGTGGGGGCCCAGCTGCCGATGATG